CGCTTGTGTGACTTGGTTGCAACTTGATGATTTGTACTGATGGCACTGTTGCCGATTCTTTGTCTGAGCATCTGAGGTAGCCTTGAAGTTACTATATCACTTTAGTAGAATTATATGAGAACACAGGCTTGTCTAGAGGGAGATTGGTTGGAGAGTCATCGTCTGCTAATGTACTCGAACACCTCCAAGTACAATGCCAAGTTTTCAAAGTCTGTTCATTCGGAAAACGTGTCCTTTTTGTAGTCCCATGAACGTGGCGTGGTATACCAAGACACGTACAATAGACCTCAAGCGATGCTAGATGTCGGCAGACGTCAAGCTGACTGGGTACACAGGAAACTGGCGAAAGCGTGGTTGACTCTAAACAGGCTAAGAAGTTCACAGCTGTTCAATGCAGGCGTTGAGGCCAGTAAACAAAGAAACTTCCAACCTTTTAGCTTGGATGCTCATAGTTCACTGCAGGGTAAAGTCAACGTACTTGAAGGAGAACGTGACATCATTCCACTTTCTGGTAAGTGTACCGCATATCGAGAACTAAGAGCCGTATCGTCAGTCGTTCCTACTACGAGTATAATTCTAGGATGCCTTTATGCTCTCCTTGATTTTCATTGTGTTTCCTCTCCTTCAGAAAGGCTGGGATATTTCTAGATTTCTGCTGTTCGGTGTCAGCGCTCTCATATTGTCAGCCTATGTTTTCTTCTTGAATTGTAGGAATTTCAGGCTGATAAAACAGGTAATATAAATCAAAAGCATAAACTATTTGATACAAATAGATTTGTAACATAACCACAAAATAGAGCGCTGACATGGAATTCCGTGTCAGCGTCAGCGCTCTCCTATTGTGAGGTTATGTTTTATCTTTGAATCTTAAGAAATATCGAGCTGATAAAACAGATGGTAAAAATTAAGTTTCATCAGCATGAAATTTCTTAGAATTCAAAAAAATATATAACCTTTCTTTCTGAAGGACATAAAAAACTATGAAAATCGAGGCCGCAAAAACGTCCTACAATTGTAGAAATGAGTGACGATATGGTCCCTAGGCCTGGGATTCAAAGCGATGGTTGGAGTTAGATAATTGAAAAAGTCTACGCTGCAGGCTTAAAATGCTTAGCTCCTGTTACTTGTCTTCTTGCTATTAGAAAATCATAAAATATATACAAAATTGAGTTATGTCAGATCCCAGAACTAACTTTATTGACGGGAAATGACAACTTATTTTTGTGGAATGGAACAAAGTAGCACATTTAGTTTTGAAACACTTCTGACAACGTCCATCTTGCAACACTGGATGAAGTCTTGTTTGTGGCGAGTTTTTCGGTAAGGGGCATTCTGGGAATGCGCGCTTTTTCATTGTGCGATGGAATTCATTTGATTATATTGACACTGTTCTGAATCTTGCGATTGTTTTGTGGAGCACAAAGGTTTCTTCAACTGCTCCTTTTTATAGTTTTATCGTGGAATTATCCACATGAATTAAAGATTATCGTAATGGGCACTTTTTAATTACTTTGTTTTCGTCATTAACTTGGTTAGAGTACCTACTTGATTTACTTTCTGGTCTCAGGAACATTCGATTCGCGCAGAAAAAGTTCAGATTGGATTACTTGTGCAAATGCGCAATATCGTGGACTGTGGTAGTTTCTAAAATAGACAGGAAATATGTAGATAGATCGAACGGTTTCTATACGTATTTTGCATTTACTTTATCTAGTTATGAGAAGAATACTCCTAACCTTCTGCTCAAATATAATAGCAGACAAGACGAGCAAGTAGAATTGGTTCTGAAATGCGGCATATCAGGCCTCAGAGATTTGTGTTTTTCCGTTTTGTTGCCTACGGGCCCCGGCAGTGGATCAATTTTCAAAACCTTGGCAAAATCCGAGCAGTACTATCCAAATTTTTGATGGATCAGGATATTTTCACGATAATATTTCACCCATTTCCGTCGGTCTCTCTGTATGCTTCTCTGCTAATCCTTGTCCGATCCAGAATTACGGGGTAACTAAACGGAAAAACAAAAATCCCTGAATCCTTACAATGTAGCGTTGATGGTCTTGAGGCGCGCGTCAGTTTCTAATCTCCGGAGATGTAATCATGAATGGTGTTAATTCACTTAAGTCTTGGAATGAAAAACTTGTAAATCTTAGAGTAGCTGCGAAGAGTCTCAATAAACACGTGTGGACTCAGCGGTTCACTTTCCATGTGTATAATGAGCATAAGGTGGATCTCCTTAAGACAATTTTCTGTAATGAAGACGCACCCCAACTCTTTGCTACTAATACCTTGTTAATTCTCACTATTCGTCGTTTGCCTATCTGGAAAACAGGTTACAGTCAAATGTATATATGTTAATCAAATCTATCATTCCTGGTTGCCCAGAAACCAGACAATACGAGTATCAAGGAAAAAGTAACGAACGGAAAGGAAGAGCAAGAGAACAACTACGGGCCAACCGTAAAGAACGCTATTTCATGCTTATTGGTAATCATCAGCACGATCTAGGTCTAGGTTTCTAGGTACAATGAAGATGAGTGAAACAAAAGTATCCTCTATCAGAGGTAAGTCTATTAAAAATCGACAGCACAAGTGCCTTTTATTGCAAGAATGGACGATTGCGAAATTGGTGAGTAGATCATCACCTATTATTATATGGTCAGAATAGGCGGCTTGTACGAGGCTAGTTTGTCCTTTAGAGGAACATGCTACAGGATGCTGAACAGTCTAAATTTCAGTGGTGGTTGGTGGTACATGGCATATCAGAAAAATCACACCACGCCAAGGCCTCCACGTTCAAATTACGACCAGTTACGGATCAATGGTTTGGAGAGCATGGAAAGCCTATTACAAAGTCTATCACCGGATCAACATCTCTGAACTTGCTTCAGTTTGTCCTAGCTCTCACTCCTACGCACTGAAGTGACCGACTGTCTTGGTGCAGAGAATGGCTGAATTAAGATCTTGAATGGAATACCATAGTCTTTTGTGATGTATCCAGATTCTGTTTGGGGATGCATGATGGTCGTGCAATGACGAGAAGGCGGCGAGGTGAAAGACGATATTCTCAATTTTCTATGGATGTGTACCACAAAGCTGGTATCGGGGCCTTTAGCTAATAGAACCAACGCCCGTACGGCCACCAACCTACTTCTCCAATAATATAATACGCGACCACATATAGCCAGAATAACGTTCGCCCATTCTGAAGACAATCAAGTCCATTTGTTTCCTTGGACCCTCGATCTCCCGATCTGTCATCCGTTAAACATGTCTGGACCACGTTTACCTCATCACCCACTGACCCCTGCGGCACTTCGGCACGAGGTATAAGTTGCCTGGGATGATATTCCTCAAGAGAAAATCGAGCATCTGATCAGGAGTGCGCCCAGAGGTGTTTCTGAGTGCATTAGGCATCGTGGGAATCCATTCTGAAATTTTGATCAATTACTAGCCCAACCCTTAGAGATTTGTATACAAAAAAATTGTTGTAATATATTCAATATTACTGGATGTCCTTTTTTCTTTGTTACTTAGTATATATCATGATTTTCACAGCCTCATGGTGCTAGTGCAGAGTTCCCCAAACTTTTTTGTGTCGTAGACCCCTTGCCATGTTTTTCCGTGTTGGGTAGACCCCCTACTTACCTGATATTGATTTCCTGTAAATTTCTAACTGAAGTGAAGTTTAGTGTTAAAAGCTTAAAGTAAAAACACATGTTAATTTATACATCTATTAATTGAATTTAAATTAAAACTACTCAAAATAAAATTTTGTATCTGTTATGTAAAATATACGTAACATTGAATAAACAGGTGTCTGACCAATAAGTGCCCGCATTGGAAATAAGTGCCCGCATTGAAAAAAAAATAAGAGGGATAAAATAGAAAAAAGTGAAAAATAATAAAAAATAGTTTTTTTACTTAAAATAGTACAATAAGCGAGTTCGTTTATTAATTATAACATAAACGTATGTTCTACAATAATTTCACTGTTAGTTTGATTAAATTCTGCTTCTTATAAGTTATCTAAAAATAGGAAAAAAATTAACGAATTTTAGTGTGTACCTATCCTTGAATTTTCAGAATAATTTAAAAAAAATATTTTCTATAAAGGGGGGTTCTTTAAAAAAATCAATGCGGGCACTTATTCTCATTGCGGGCATTTATTGGTCAGACACCAATAAACATAAAATAAACTATAAATAAAATAACATAAGCAATAAGTCAATATTTTTAGTGAGAAGGATGAACCTGATGCTTTAATAATAAATTATCAACATTTGGCGTCAATTTTGTAAGGGTTAATCTTAAATCTCCTCGGCTAATGATGTCCAGCCTGTTCCTTTTTTTCGTTAGGAGATTGGTAACAGCTCTGAACCCCCTTTCCACAAGGTATGACGATGGAAAGGAAATTAAAAATTTCCTCGCTATATTCCATAATACGGGATAAGTAACGGGTATGTTGTTTTGCAGCCAGAATTGCTGATATCCGTTTTTAAACTGAACCTTAAGTTCTTCGTTTGTACTTAGTTCAGTCAGTTCCTCTTGTATTATGACATTCGTTTCTTCTATGTCACCATATGGATTAATTATTCATGGTGGTATTACCATAGTCAAAATATCCTCAAACCTAGATTCAAAATCTGAATAGAGGGCATTTAAATGTTGAACGTAAGTTGAAACGTCGTCTTCGCCCCTCCAATATTTTGCTTCATTAGTTTAACTCTGGCAAGAAACGCTGATAAGATGGACTTTGTTTTAATCAAATTTAAACTGTCGCCTTGTAATTGCAAATTAACCATATTAAATTTTGTAAACAAATCTGTTAAATAGGCGATGTCTGTTTTCCTCTTCATTAAATTTTCTTTTAAAATTGTATCTTTGGTATCCAGAAATTCTAAAAAAGTCTCAAAAGGTGCAAAAAATCTTGTCAAACATAAGCCTTTCGACAGCCAGCGTACTTCAGTGTGAAGGAGTAATTGATGAAAGTGTTCGTCATTTTATTCACACAACTGCGCAAATAACTGCGTATTCAATGCGTTGCTTCGGATTCGGTTTACTGCATCAATGAATAAATGAAGTGATTCATGCAATCTATCACTCAAATTTTTAGCAACTAAATGTTGTCGATGGATGACGCAATGTATTGCTAACACCCCTGACACATTTTGTTTTAAATAGCTTATAAATCCACAATAACGTCCAGCCATGAAGTAATCCTTCAAAACATGAAATATTGATTCACCTTTAGTGTCGGTTATCAAAGTTCTTGCGAAGAGCAGTCCTTCGTAGGTTTCTTGATTCATAATAAAACGAACATATGCCAATAATAATGCTGCATTATCAGGTAAAGTTGACTCGTCCAGTTGTATAGAGAAATGGGTCGTTTGCAAATAATTACATAAGAAGCTTTCAATATCAGAACTCATTTCATCAATACGTCTTTCAACAGTATTGTTGCTTAAGGGAATTCTCTTAATGATATCAGATGTAGGTTTGTGTAAAACAGCTTTTGAAACCTCTTCAACGGCTGGCAAAATTAACTTCTCTCCGATAGTATGCGGTTTTCCGGATTTTGCTATAAGTAACGAGATATTGTAAGACGCCCGCAAACCATCATCATTTCTTTGTGACGTCGAAGCGAACATTCTGTCCAGTGTAGGTCTCTTCTGAAATTTATCTTTGAGTGTTTGAAAGTATTTCAAATCTTTCTCTGTTTTATCAGGGTGGCATCTTCTCAGATGAGCTTGCAGTTGATATGGTTTTATAGCGTCATTGCCCAAAACTTTGTTGCATAGAAGGCACATAGGCGATTGTTTGTCCGGCAATGATGGAATGAAGCCAAATTTCAAAGAATCAACACTGTACTGTCTACATTTCTTTTTAAATTCGGACATGGCATCAGTCATCTGTGGGCAAAATTAAATTATTTAAATAAGACAGAAAATCCAGTAGCTGTATGTTAAAAATATTTTTTGATTTTTCCGAAAACATTCCATAATTCGAACATCTCCTTGCAACAATTAGCTCGAATTACGGAGATTGCACTGTAATTATATTACCGATTGCTAAAACTTTCAAAAACAAACTATTGAGGAGTACTCGTGTAATTTTGCATGATTGAATATTTAACTACTAATAACTAAAGTCACGATTGGCGTAATTTATCTATCTTTGCTAACTACGAGTACAAAAGTAAAATTTAATAAAAAATAATGTACTTACTTTTCTCCAGCACTCTCAAACAAAATAACACTGACTCACTATAATTTGTGTGATATACTATCTGTTTATATCTTTTAAACTATTTTCTTAGCACTTTCCTTTTCAAGATTCAGGAAACGAATAAACGTATTTCTCTCACATTCGTATTTATAGAGTGACGAATTGAACAAGTCAGTGCAAGGTAGCGAAGCTCTGAGACTGCGACTCTCAGGTTTTTACAAGTTCAAAATGTATTGCGACCACAAAGCGAATACCAACATCCTACAACTTACACAATTTTATAAACATATATAATAAATTTTTTACTTCATAGGTACTTACATAAATAATGTATATGTTTTGATATTATAAGATAGTATGATGTAAGTAAATAGGTACTATCAGTGTATGTGTTGAGATCCACTATCGCGGAACCCCATATTCATTTCATGGACCCCCAAATTTTTTTTCGCTGACGTAGACCCCTTGCAGGTTGTCATAGACCCCTAGGGGTAGATATAGACCACTTTGGGAATCAATGTAGCTAGTGGATCACCAGATGGCCGACAGCACCACCAGGGAGGCATCGGATCCTCCTGACGCGCGCATCGCACCGGTTGCCCTGTGTTCTTCCGAGGTGTGATCATGAAAGGGTCGGCGTCGGATCGGCGGCATTGTGGTGGTGACCGGCCAGCAATTAGAACGCCTTTCGCAACGGCCTAATGACGGAGCTGGGGGCCTCCGGGCAGCCGGGCCTCAGGCCCCGGGCGGCACCCGCGACGAGGAACACCGCCGATACGGACCACCCAGATATACACACCGAAATGCGCCGCGGCGGCGGGCATCAACAGAGGCGGAGATGATACACTATTCTGTATTAATACGGAAGATGCAAAAGCAATTAGGTTGACTCTGCACTTCCCACGCCGTGATCGGTTTTTAAAGGGCTATCCTGAGAATTAAGACAGCGCCATAGACCTTATATCATGGATGGAAGATTGTTGCTAGGTTAGGTTTTTGTGAGTGAATCAATCACGATCTTCCACTGCGACTCACTGATCTATTGTAGCTCACACCTATTTATATTTCTTGCTGTAATTCCGACCTCCCAGGGAAGTTAATCGACTTATTTGGAGAAATATTGTTCAGGTTTTATACTTGGGGTCCTGACCATCTACAAGTGTATGTACATGACTCTAGCAATTGTAGGGCATCCGCATGAAACATGCTTGACTATTTCGTTTCATTTCTTGCACAGACTGCGTTCAGCGGCTTCCGTCATGCCCAGCCTGCTCCTGTGGTGACGCAATATGCAATGACCAGTGTGCAGTTCCACTTAAGCTTAACGTTTATTTCTGCTTAGCCGCAGCAGTGAGTCTGTTACCTTTTTTGTTAAGATTATTTGCCTTAGCATGATATATAATCCTGTTAATCTCTTCCAAGATTGGTGGATATGTCCTTCCAAATCTACAAACGGTGTGCTAGCGCCACTCTCGGATAAAGCGTCGGCTGTCACATTGATCTTCAGACCTGTATATCCTGGGATACATATGAAACAGGCCTTATTTCCTTCCCCGTGCTACCAAGAGATTTACAATTCCACCCTAATTTTGACGCTAAGTAGGTGAAGTCAATTGTTTGAAGCGCGGCTTCACTATCTGAGAAAATCTGTATAGTCCTCAATTGTCGTCCTGCGATCATGCTGATACACAGTTCTATAGCTCTGATCGAAAAATCGATGTCCAAGTTCCCCGGCTGACTGATTCCTTAATCTTTAGCTTCGGCACGAGGGTACCTACTTCGGTCTTGGTACCATCTGTGTATGATATCTTTTCTTAATAGGTAAAAGGATTATTGGTATGCTTTCGCTCGTTGTCCTAGAGAACAAGCCTAGACCATGCTGTTGATTTGCCAAAACAGCACAAAACAGCTGGCCATGATTGGCTGTCTTTGGTTGGGCGGGACGAAAGCAGCATGTTTAAGTTAGACCCCTGAAAAAAAGCTGGTTACGAACGTATAAATAGCGTTGAATCTGCATTTCAACTAAAACATTGTCATCAATTCATATGTCATATGTTCGGCTCAAGTTAGCTCCCTGAGAAAAAAAGTAAAAAAAAAATCACTGCATCAAGTCTGTCAAACAGCTCCATAGTCCATAGCCTTGTATAACAATTACATCAAAATCCGAGTGGTACCTTCCAAGTTATAGACGGGTCAAGGGTTAGCGGACAGACAGACAGACCGACAGACCTACGGAAATGAGTGAGATGGTTTTTCGTGATATACATAGCATATAAAAAAACAAAAAACAGTATCTCATTTTCGAAACTTTTCGCAGTTACAGTACTTTCTCGCCAGTCGCGCGGAAAGTAAGATCGCAGTAAACCCAAACTGCTACAACCTACATTTCGCTAACATGATTTGTGGGTTGCAGACTCAAAGGATAGTATATAGGACGGCTATAAGGGTCGCATTTGGCTTTTCGAAACTTTTCGCGATTACAATACTTCCTTGCCGGTATCGTGGGAAGTAAAATATATGTGAAAGTTTTCAGGCCCTACAGTTTGACATTTGTCACATAGCCCCATAAGAGCTATCAGCGGTCATGGCAGATAACAGAAGTGACGTCATCATAAGAAGGCTCGCCTTTGTGGGAGCTTTAATATAAACAAATTGTTTTCCCTTAAAATCCCTGTATGTTATGTTATTATATGTACATGGAATTGTTTAAAACAAAAGCAAAAACAAAATTATTTTATCTTCCCTTTCCCGACTCTGACTTTTGCCAGCCATGCACTAAGCAACGATGCTAGATTTCTACGATCAGGCAGCGATAGTTATCTAATATATCTTTAACAATAGAGTAAAGAAAACGTAAGTCTTGTATTCTCTGTGTCTTTATATTCTTCGGGTAACTCTGAAAACACCTCCCCCTATCCATCTAGGTTTGAAGTCTCCATCCATCTTCTCTGCATTCAAAAGCTTGCGTTTTGTTATTATTAGCTACTAGTCATGACCGCCTATCAGATATATTGATAATGCACAATCCGCATGTATGTAGAGCATATACTCGCCATCATCAGAAGCATGTTGTTTTTATGCAACAGCTTGAGAAACAAATCAGTACGACACGTTGAGTGCTATCACGTATCCTGGGTCGGAGCAAAGGTAGTGGTGTCATTTTCATCCGCACAAACTGCATGGTAGTCGCGCGTCGTGAGATGGTATCACCATGTTTCTCAGCTGCCGAGGAGCTGCTGGTCGCAGGTCGCGGTTCTCTTCAAACGGCTCCGGTTACCTTTCCTTCGACCGCGGGACCCGCGCCACACTAATTCGTTTATGATTCTTTCAGACAGTGGCGTATCGTTACAGATTACAGAGCTTATTCTAAATTGTCTTCGGTCTTTCAGGATCGTTAATAGAGTAACCGCTATCATCAAAACTCGCATATCCTGAAGAGCCAAAAGCTCTCATCCCGTATGCTGCCTCTAGAAAAGTATTTTCCATGTTTCCTCACAGTCTAAATTGCCACTGATTACGAGACCTCTAAGTTAAATGAGACTGGCAACGTAGCGTTCGAAGTGGCGACACTGGAGATACTGAGCTTGGAGTAGAGACAGGAGGACAGGTGATCCGCCTTTAGAACAAGTTTGAACTCGCTCGAGTCATTTGGTTGTCCGTAGCGATTTTTTTTTGTGAAACAGTTTTTCCTACTGTCTGCTAAAAATGAATAACATCAATTTCGAGCAACTGAGTGATAAAAGGTTTTGCTCCAGATTTGGGCATAGTGCAACGGAAACTCTTGCTAAACTTCAGCAGGACAACGGAGATATTGTTTTGTTAAGAGCCCAGGTTTTTCGGTGGTTTAAGGCATTTTCAGACGAGAAAGAGTCGGTTGAAGATGAACCACTAAGCGAAAGACCTTCATCTTCAAGACCAGATGAAGACATCGACAGTCTTTGTCCAGTAAAAACATTCCTGTGGCTCCTCAGCCAACTTATTTGTCTGACTCTAGTCCTTGTGACTTTTTTCTTCTCCAGAAGTTGAAAAATCTCCTCAAGGGAACTCACCTTGGAACAGTCGAAAACATTCAAACGACTTTAAGCGACCAGCTGAAGGCTATTCCAGTATCGGAGTTTCAGCACTGCTGTGAGGAGTGGAGGAACCGTTTCCAGCTCTGCGTGGCTTCAGAAGAACGTTATTTTGCGGGTAACAATATAAAATTCAGTCTCATCACTTAATTTAAGACCCCGTATTCCACTGGAAATTCTTTGAAGGATAAAAAGTTTTTTTGTTTTTGGCGTTAGTATATTTAGATGCTTCTAACCCTTCTAACGTACAACTATTTTCCAGTACATTCGCCCTTAAGACAGAATGGTAGCTGACCACATGTTTTGCAATGTTGTCAAATAGCTAGGGACTGGAAGGTTACGTGAGTATACGCCTATTTTACCGACTTCATACT